CAATACATATATATTTATGTAAATTTAGACATTGTTAATACGAGAAAAAAGAAACTTATTTTGACCTAGAATATTCTAAGAACATGTCTAAATAATTATTTGCTAAATTCGTCAAGGGAAAATTTTTTTTCAATATAATTAATATAAAGAAAACAAAAAAAAAGTTCTATATTTATTTAACGCTTACTTTGGCTTGAGATCTTTTTCTATTTGGTTTAGACGAACTAAAAAATTGTTTTTTTTCTATTTCACTAGAAGAGAACGAAAAACTAAGCAGTAAAATGCATATATATTTTTCTTTCCTGTTAATAGTAAATGAAAAAGAAAAATATGACATTGCTGCTTCTGCCTATTCTTTCTTATATCGTAGTGAATTAAATATAAATTTATTCTTTTATATTTATTGTAATATAATAATAATCATAATAAAAAAAAATGTTGTGTTTTAGACAAAATAAAATGATTGTGTTATAAATAAAATTCTATACTCTTTTAAACAAAATAACAGTATTATAGAAACCTAAACTGAAATAAACACATCATCTTTTAAGAATTGTAATAAAAAATGACGAATGATTTCTAATGATTATTTAAGTTTCGTTAGAGGTCACTGAGTTTTGTTTAACGTATTTCGAAAAGCTTATTAAAATATTTATATGAGAATTAACTCCAAAAAAATGATATTAATTTCATCTCATAACTAATGATTTAACAAAAAAGATACTGTTTTTTTTGACCTTTGAAATGCCCTCAGAATACGTTTGTTAAAGGCTATTAATGTCAAATGACACGTGAGCCTTCGTTTTAGCAAATGTATTTTTATAGTCAAAGAGATAATATCTTTTTTTTCATTAAATCATTAATTTTTTTACATAGAATATAAATTATCAAATTCAATAAATTTTATTTTTGCAGATATTATCTTAAGACAAGTTTCGATCATATGAAATTGTCAGTTCAGTTTTATCACGTGATAGCTATATAATTTAATTCATGCAGTAATTGTGAGTAATAGTTAATATTAAATAATTTTTTTATTAATGTTTTCGAGTTAAATATCACGTCACAGAAATGCATTAACATTCAAGCTGTTGCCTTCCAACATATAGTAAGCATATGAATATATTATTATAAGAAATTTTTATTGACTTTTTTTGTTTATCAGAAAGGAAAAAACACGGCCCTATTTGTCTAATAATGCAGAACAATCATTCTTATAAAGAAACAACCAATAATAGATTATTTTGCGCGGAGACTCTTATTTAAAGATGTTGTCTATTAAATACTATCATATATGGAATTATTCAAAATAGCTTTGATTCAGTTTGCTAATAAAATAACAAAAGAGGAAAAAGCTATAAAATTATCTTAGTTGATCAGTATCTCACTAAATGAAGCAACTGATATAAATAGAAAAATCCCAGCATTCGTCATTTTGACCTTGTTTCAACAATAATATTTTGAAAATAATAATAAGATTATTATGTTTTATTTTAATGGACTTTCGAAAAATCAAACCATATGTTTTAGTTCTCATATATAAATATTCGCATTTAAATATCTAAAGGTGTACCATATTCACATCATCAAGTTTTGTGAAAGAGAATAGCAGCAATGTCGAGCGCAAGTTTTGGTTGGATCTGCTTATTACTTATTGTTTTTGTACCAGTAATTGATGGGCAATTAACACGTTTTACTGGAGGTGTAAACGGTGGTTCTGACTGTGCAACATGTTCAATTGTTTTAGGTCTTATTGACAAACTTTCTATTGTTTATAATACAAGTGTTGTAAATACACTAGAAAGATTTTGCAACCTTTTACCAGGTCAATACAAATTATATTGTAAAGCAGCTGTAGACTTTTTAGGTAAGTTTATATAATTAATATAATGAATAAAAATAAATACAATCTTTCGTATAGGTCCTTATATTGTTGATGCTTTTATCAAAGGAGATAATCCTGATGTTATTTGCCATTCATTAAAAATTTGTCATGATACTGCTGGTCAACCAAAATGCCGTATATATCCACAAGATCCGTCTATTTCAGTACCTCAACGAGCTTTAGATCTTCTACGACGACATCCATACATAAATGCTCACTTCAAAGACAATCCAAAAATTTGCGATTTTCCTGGTATTAAAGAAATTTGTAAAATACTTGACAATGTTTTTAATAACCATATACCTTTGGTCGATCTTGATCATGATAAATTCGGTGAAGAAGTAACACTTCGTGGTAGTTCATGGCGAGGAAAAGATTGTAATGATGCTTCAGCAAGTGTTCATCCAGGTGCTCATGTTGTAAACAGTGATGTTACTGTTGATCATAATTGTAATGGTATACTCGGTATGGATTCAACAAGTGGACGAGCATATGAAGATGAATTTTGTAATGATACACGACGTTTGGGAATAGCTGTTTTAGGTGATTCAATATCAGCACATTTTCATATTCCTGAACAATGGATGGATGCTCGAGAATTTTCAGTTGCTGCATTTGAACATTTACCATTTATTCTTGAAAATGAACTTGATTGGCCACAGATGTCAGCTACTACAGGTCATGTGAATGTTAGTTGGCCCAATATAGAAGGTGATTACAAAAAGTTTTCTTATTAACATTTTCTTTTCAAGTATATATATATATATATATTTACAGGAGATACTCGATCACTTTATCTTCGTCTTTTTGATTTGGATCATTGTAATCATCGTGATTATCAAAATATTGCTGTAAATGGTGCTCGCAGTGGTTCTATGCTTGATATTATGAAAGCCTTAGCACGTGATCCAAAAAAATGATGTACCATTACTTGTTATCTATTCTTTAGTTGGTAATGATGTTTGCAATGGTCATCCAGATACAATTGATCATATGACTACAGTTGAGGAAATGTATAAAAATGTATTCACTACACTTACTTATCTGGATACAGTTTTACCAAAAGGTAGTCATGTAGTTACAACTGGTTTGGCTAATGGTAGTATGTTATATGATTTACTTCATAATCATATTCATCCATTTGGTCGTGTTGGTGTACCACTTACTTATCCACAAATGTATGATTATTTATCTTGTCTACAAATTTCACCATGTAATGGATGGCTTACATCAAATGCTACACTTCGTGATTTAACTACACAACGAGCTGTTGATTTATCTGGAGCTGTACGAAATGCTTCATTTACTTATCAACCACGTAATTATGATATTGATTATCTTGACTTTCCATTTGATGCAGTTATTCAAGAATGGGTTGCACAAGGTGGTCAACCATGGCAAATAGTTGAAAGTATTGATGGTTTTCATATTAATCAATATGGTCATGCACTTGTATCCGATGTTCTTTGGGCATGGTTACAAAAACAACATCCACAATGGTTACCACCTATGAATCCACACAATGCAGACATTGAACGTGTGTTTAAAGATCAAGGTGGATATTAATATTTTCAAATAATATTTATTTATTTTTATTGTTATGAAAATAAGAAAATAAATTTATTCTAAAAGTTTTCTAGCTAGTAATCATCTACATTTTATTAAATAACTCATTACAATCTATTTCATTAAGATTATCGATTTTTAACAAGAGTAATCATA